TTTTGCAGTATCTAGGATCTAGTATCTGATTTTCGATACTTTTGACAACCCAAGTAGGATTTAATCGGGAAAATCATGAACAAAATCTGCCTTATTTTTACCTTTTACTGTCAGAAAAACTGCAAATTTCAGTCAGATGGAGAAATTTCTGTATATTTTCTTGCAATATTGTGTTAAAATGCAGTCTGTAACTTCCAAGGTGAAGGGCCGGCTTCTCGCTTGGCTCCATGGAAATGTTATTTCTTTGCATAGAATGTCCCACAGTACACTAATTTACCTTACATATATTCAGCTATAAGTGTTTTATAGCTCAAAGACATGAATATTTACCATGTGCAGGCTTGTTTCTCTGTAGATCTCCATTGTGTTAACCAAGCTTTTCTCCAGACTCTATAATACTGAAGGCAAAGCAATTAAATCGGCGACCCTGCATCAGAAAAAGTTATACAGTGCACCATTAATAATATAATTTATGTGTCAGTTAGTATTGCAGTTAATATGTTTTCTTTATATATATATTAATTTGTGCAGCCCTTTCTCTGTTGGGTTTCTTTTTATCTGATCTTTTGTTCTGATCTGAACACCGCACGCTTTTACCAATGCCTTTTCAGTCTGACTCTTTTCACTTCTTTGCTCTTGAGAATCCTTTAAATATGTCAAGGAGTTTGTTTTTGAATGTAAACAGATTGGAAATTGAATGCGTTTGAGTGTTGTATCACTTTGAATGAGCTGCACATTAAAAAAATATATTAACTTATGTAACAAGTAGGGATGTAGTTTTGTATTCAAGGTCCCATATCATTTTATTTTCTGATCTGTTATAATGTTGTTTCCTCGTCACAAACAGACCTGGAGTTGTGTTTTGTTTCATTCACGCATGTTTAACTCACAAACCCTGCAGATTTAGGCTGAGTTCTTCTCTCAAACTAATACAGGAAGTGCTCCAGTGTGTTTTAAAACTCCGTACACCTTCACTAGAATCATTTGGATAATTTCAGCCTTGGAATTGCCAATCTCTACTGAACAAAAGGTAAAAGGAGCAAGAGCCGCTCGATTACGGAAAAAAATCATTATCACGTTTATTCAAACAATTTTTTTTTTTTGTTACACGGTGCATTTATTCAGCATTTCTCTCTCGCAAAAAAACCAACACTTTGTTATTGATAATTTACGCAAAACTTTCAAATTGAAAATAAATATAGGCTACAAATATGAACCTTAGAGCAGTTTTGCGATGTATAAAACATAAAATTAATAAAATATACTTTGAACATGAAATAAGGCATAAAAAACATAAATGTATCCAAAATAAACTATATATCCAACTGTTCTACAATCTCTATATTTAAAAAATCAAATAAATATACTTGCTTGTATAAAAAAATATCTCAAAATAAACTTTAATCATTTCAACTTGATCATATGAGTTTGGAAATCGTTTGACACACAGATGCTCAAACACATACCAAAACTCTTCGGGAAAGGCTCAGATTTTGTCCTGTTAATGTGATTTATTTTTTCCAGTGTCTAGTATCTTGATACTTTCGACAACCCACGTAGGACTTAATCAGGAAAGTGTGAAGAATCCCTCAGTCGTCCAGGTAGAATCCATGGCGAGGAGAAAATTCAGTTTGTCGACTGGACAGAAGTTAACTTTAACTTTAAGTTAACTCAATTTTCTCCTCGCCTTAATCAGGAAAATCATGAATAAAATCTGCCTTACTTTTACATTTTACTGTCAAAAGAATGAGAACACACATCAATTACTAGAGACGGGTGCGTCAGAGGAGATGGAGCAGCCCAAGAACATACAGAAAAATCCCGCACACCGTTTTACTTGCAAATTGTGAAATTTATTCGGACAAACCGTGGAACGTTTTTAGCACATGACGAAGGCCTAGTGCTGAAACGTTGCAGAAAAGATCAATAACAGTGTTTTTTAAGAGAGAGAAATGCTGAATAAATGCATCATGTAACTAAAACAGGCATGTCCAAACTATGGCCCGTGGGCCAAATGCGGCCCTCAGACAAATTATTGCTGGCCCTCAGGCTTCCAGGTGAAATGGTCCAAATTACCTTGCATAAATTAAAAATTAACTTTTTACTGCAACGTTTTTAGGAAATTTACCTTGATAAAGCTGATATTTCATATTTAGCGTGTGGTTTTAAGGATATTAGCATGAATAAAAACTGATGGGTCATTCTTATGTGTTAAACATGCACATATTTCAATTGTGAGCCGTAGTGAGCACCAGTCTACGTCCCGCGATCAGCCCTCTGCTTCGTCTGTGTTTACGTATGTGGCCCTTGATGACAAACGTTTGGACACCCCTGAACTAAAAAAAATAGTCTGAATAATCGTGATTTCAATATTGACTAAAATAATCACGATAATGATTTTTATACATAATCAAGCAGCCCCAATGCAGATCGATAATTGGCATAATATAGGTCCTTTAATGTCATACTGTTGAAAATTCCAAACAGCAAAAAAAAATAAAATAAAAACTTAACAAGAAGCTGGTGGAAAAGCTACACAGTACATCTTTATCAGAATTTCATCTGCCAGCAACACTGTCTTGTCTCCCTTGTACTGCTTATTTAGACTTCTACAAACAAGCTCTGAAATATATGGGATTCTTATATTATTTTATCAGGTTATATTTCAGTCTTCTCTCAAATGTTAATGCTCCGGGGCTTGTTTAAAATGTCAGCTGTGAACATAATCTTCCCCTTACAACTTAAATCACAAATTTCATCTCAAAGCCTGTCAGAAAAATGACACATTTCCCCAGAATCGTTCACAACGCTGCCATCATCGCAAAAAATACTCCACGCTTATGAACAGACTCCTGACTGAAACCACAAATGTACCGTCACTAGAATCACTTGGATAATTTCAGCCTTGGAATTGACTGTCTCTACTGAACTAAATATAAAAGGGAGCTGTTAACATGAAAACTACCACTTCATGACATCACAAGGTGGAACTGAGCATTTTGAGTTTTGGAGATGTAAACAGACTGATAATAAAGGGTTACCAACATGTGAATGAAACAAAACACAACTCTTGGTATGTTTGTGATGAAAAAAGAATATAATAACCAAGAATTAACGTAATATAGACTCTTTTAATGTCATACTGTTCCAAACACAGCAAAAAAATTAAATTAAATTAAATTAAATTAAATCAGTAAGACAAGAAGCTGGTGGAAAACTTACACAGTACATCTTATGCCTTATTTGCATGGGTTTAGTATTACCTGTGGACACTGGTGATTTGTAATACCGTATTTTTTGGACTATAAAGTGCACCGGATTATAAGGCACAATATCAATGTTGAATTTTCTTTTATTTTCAAACGTAAATTGCACTGGATTATAATGTAAATTAAGTGAGACTGATCCTTAGTCCAGGCGTCCACGATCCATTGGCAGATCGTGGCGTAATTCGCCCGGTGTTGCCTCCCTGTCTTGGTGAATGTGGATAAAGAGTTTTGTTTTTTTTATTTCCTACGAGGACGACTCAAATATACATTGTGTAATAATGTGTTTATTGCAGCTTTGTGCACATTTGTTTACATTTTACAGAAACGAAACTTAAAACCACATGGTTAATTTGCATAAACTATAAGTCAGACATGTCAGACAAATTTGGCCTGTGATATAATTATATTTGGCCCACGAGATCATATCAAATATGTATTAGAGCTGGCCCGTCGGCTACAAATAGGCTATAAAGACATTATTTATTTAAAATGTTATTATTTTATAATGTTTTTTTCTGGAGTCAATGTTTAAGCAAAACTATTATTAAACATTCATTTTAATAAGAAAAGGTTTAAGATTACATATTTTTAAAGAAGAGAAAACATCCAGATGTTGTTGAAATTTTTCAATAAATATTTGGTTTGGCCCATGACTTTTTAATTTTGACCCTCTGTGAATCTGAGTTTGAAACCCCTGACATAAGCTCTAAAAAAACGGCTCGCTCCTTGTGTGCTGATGTCGTCAACTTCTGTCGGACTAAAGGACACGACTCCATGAGGCTCCTGACTACAGTAGCTTTAATGTTCCGACAATCCATCAAGCGATGCGGCTTCGTAATTTACCAAAGTCATACTAAAACATTCTGACAGATTTTTGAGCGTTGTGCACCACATAAAATCAGTTCGAGGTCAGTAAACACAACCAGAATTAATACATAAGGCGCACTGTCGATTTTTGAGAAAATTTGAGGATTTTAAGTGCGCCTTATAGTCCAAAAAATACGGTAATTGTGGAGGATGCCTGAGATCTTAATCCCGTGTGAATGCGCTATGTCTGCAATTTGTAAAGTAAAAATTCTGATGCAAATTACCTTACGATATTTCGGCAAACACAGACGTCTGGTGATAATACTAGTCCCGTACAAATCTGCATCTCAATGTTTGTTGTTGTAATTGCGCGTCTTTTCTATCTCTTTTCTTTTCTTTCCGCATTCTTTTCTCTTTCAATCTCTGTGTCAATGTCAGTCAAATAGAGTAATTTACGGATTTCGCTTATCCCGTGTGAGTGCGCCGCAAGTAACACAGTGGTGGGGCGGTAATTTGCAAATTACCAGACGTCCCCGGGTTGTATTTATCCCGTGTGAATGAGGCTTTAAACTGAATTTGATCCGCAAGAAACACAATATCAAATCTACTGCACAGACGCTGTTCCGAAATACATGCGATTCTTGTGTTAGATTCTCTGTTTATATTTCAGTTTTCTCTCAAATGTTAAGGCTCATGGGCTTGTGTAAAATGTCAACTGTTAACTAAATCTCCCCTTTAAAACTTAACTTTAAAACCACAAATTTCATCTCAAAGCCTGTCAGAAAAATCGGTCACAACCCTGCCATCACTGCAAAAAAAATAAAAAATAAATACAGTTTCCCCACCTGCTAAGAAACCACTTATTGAAATCACAAATGTACTTTCCTTTGCTGCTGTTGATTACGGTTCCTTTTGTGTCCGCAG